TCGCAACCGTTCGCAACCGTCCGCAACCGTCCGTACGAACTCCGTATGGCCGTGCCTATGGGAAGTTTTGCAGAGGTGGTCCTTTTTGGAGGTTGCAGACGCGTGGTTGCTTCGTTTCGCGTGGCAGGCGTGGCACTTCGTGACATTCAGACGTGTTCTGCAACGTGTCGAAAGTCGTTTCGCGTGGCAGGCGCAATACTTTTGCGACGTTTTCAGAAGATGTGTTGCAGTTTTCGTGGCAGGCGCAGCACTTTGGGCGTGTCCATCGTCATTTTTCGTGGCAGGCGCAGCACTTTAGACGTGTCCTTTTGCGTGTTTTTTGTAAATCGCATTGGCAGGGCTGCGTCAAGTGGCGACAAGGTGCAAATTCCGTGGCAGGCGTGGCATTTTGTGCGATGTGGTGAAAATTGACGGAAGCCTCGCACGAAACATCGATTTTGAAGTTGCAAATTTTCAGGTTCTAAGGAAAACTCGTAGGAAAACGTTGATTTTGAAGCTACAAAGTGTGAAAATTGGAGGAAGTCTCGCACGAAATGCTCGTTTTGGTGCTCCCACCTGTCTCGTCTCGCGTGTCTGGTTTTCCCGTGGCCTCGCCGTGTCTATGGGGGAAGCTGCAAAACTTGTCCTTTTGTCATGTTGCCAACTGTGAAAATTGCCGGAAGTCTCGTACGAAATGCTGGTTTTTCTGCATTCACGTGTCTTGTCTCGAGTCGCTGGTTTTCCTGCGGCGTCGCCGTGTCTATGGGGGAAGCCGCAAAACCTCTCCTTTTTGAAGGTTTCCAAGGAAGTTGTCATGTCGTTTTGCGTGGCAGGCGTGGCACTTTGTGACATTCCAACCTGTTGGATGATGTTCACAAAATGTCAAAATTGGAGGAAGTCTCGTACGAAATGCTTGTTTTTCTGCATCCACGTGTCTTGTCTCGAGTCGCTGGTTTTCCTGCGGCGTCGCCGTGTCTATGGGGGAAGCTCCGCACTCCACACTCTACACTTTACACTCCACACTCCACATTTACACTTTAGACTCCACACTCTACACTTTACACTCCACACTTTACACTTTGCACTTTACACTCCTCACTCCTCACCTGAGACTTTACACTCCACACTCCACACTTTACATTACAATCTACACTTTCCACTCCTCACTCCTCACTCTACACTTTACACTCCACACTCCACACTCTACACTTTAGACTCCACACTCTACACTTTACACTCCACACTTTACACTTTGCACTTTACACTCCTCACTCCTCACCTGAGACTTTACACTCCACACTCCACACTTTACACTACAATCTACACTTTCCACTCTTCACTCCTCACTCTACACTTTACACTCCACACTCTACACTTTACACTCCACACTCCACACTTTACACTACACACTCCTTTCTTTACACTCCACACTTCACACTTCACACTCCACACTCCACACTCCACACTTTACACTCCACACTCCATACTTTACACTCCTCACTCCACACTCCACACTTTACACTCCACACTCCACACTTTACACTCCTCACTCCACGCTTTACACTCCTCACTCCACACTCTACACTTTACACTCTACACTCCACACTTTACATTTTACACTCCACACTCCACACTCTACACACCACACTCTACTCCACATTCCACACGCTACACTCTACACTTTACACTCCACACTCCACACTTTACACTCCACACTCCTCACTCCACACTCTACACTCCACACTCCCCACTTTACACTCCACACTCCACACTCTACACTTTCCACTCCACACTCCGCACTCCAAACTCCACACTTTACTGTACACTCCACACTCCACACTTTATACTGTACACTCCTCACTCCACACTCCACACTTTACACTTTACACTTTACACTCCTCACTCCACACTCCACACACCACACTTTACACTCCACACTCCACACTCCACACTTTACACTCCTCACTCCACACTTCACACTTTACACTCCACACTTCACACTTTCCACTCCACACTCCACACTCCACACAATAATCCACTCCACACTCCACACTTTACACTCCTCACTCCACACTCTACACTTTACACTTTACACTCCACACTCTACACTCCACACTTTACACTCCACGCTCTACACACCACACTCTACACTTTCCACTCCACAGTCCACACGCTACACTTTACACTCCGCACTCTACACTTTACACTCTAAAATTACACTCTACACTTCGCACTCTACAATTTACAAACTCCACACACTCCACACTTTACACTCCTCACTTTACACTCCACACTCCTCACTCCACACTTTACACTCCTCACTCCACACTCCACACTTTGCACTTTACACTCCTCACTCCACACTCTACACTCCACACTCCACACTCTACACTCCACACTCTACACTTTACACTCCATACTCCACGCTCTACACTTTACACTCCGCATTCTACACTTTACACACTCTACACTCCCCACTCCACACTTTACACTCCACACTCCTTACTTCACACTCCACACTCCACGCTCTACACTTTCCACTCCACACTGCAGACTGGTAACAAGGGAAACATGTACAAGACTGTTCAAATAAACTATTGCAGAAAGGTATTGTGCGTGACTGCATAACCATGTGTTTTGACATCTGTACCATTAACATACGTGTGAGCATTCGGGTTCGTGGGCTTCATCTTGTTTTGCTGGACTTTTGCTGGAGTCTAGCACCTGCACTGTCATTGGATTGATCTGCCAGTTTGTTTGAGCCTATTTTTCTTTGCATTGGAGTGGATTCGATTGCAGAGTTTTCTGGTTGGGGCTGCATTCCAGTGGCACGTTGGACTTCTATGGCGTCGTCTTCATCAGCTCGGAAGCTAGGTGGGGATGCTACGTCAGGAGATGCTGAAAGTATGAAAGTCCAAAGAATGTTGCAAGTGAATTCAATGAAGATGTTTGCCTAGATTTTGTGAGAAATGCTAAACGTCGTTTGACTACCCCTGCAAAGAAGATGCCCTGGGAAATCAGGTTGGAATCCCCGAAAGTTTTTCATGAATTGCCAAAGCCTGCAATTAATTTTTCGAAACAAGATTTTGAGAGTTGGAGATCTAGAAGTCAACCAGAGCTCGAGAAGTCGACAGATGTTGAGCCGACACATTTCCCTATGCCAAAGATGGCGAAGAGAGCTCCGAAGATTTCCTGGGAGGCGAGGCTGACAGCACAGAGGGCTGCCAGCATTGCGAAGTGGAAGACCGTGGTTGGTATCTCTATGAAATCCTTCCAGATCGGTATTCAACTGGCGAATGAACCGCGTACAGATTTGGGAGACGTATTGGATGATGTATTGTATTGGCTGCAAAGGCCACCTCGACTATGCATGCGAGAGCGGATGCATTGATCAGATATATTTCATGGGCCAGGACGAATGGACATATTCCGATTCCATTTTCAGAGACGGTCGTATATGCATTTTTGAATGAAATTGGTTCCAAATCGGCACCAACATTTCCAAGGAGCTTTTGCTGTGCTTTAGCATTCGTGGGTCATGTAGTTGGGTGTCCATCGGCGTTGGAGTGTTTGGTATCGAGAAGGATTATTGGGCATGCGGCCAGATGCTACAAGGAGAAGAGGATGCTCATTCAGAAGCCCCCCATTAAAGTACAGCATATTTTGATCCTGGAAAATATTTTGAGGGGAGAGCCAAAGTTGAAAGCCCATGACAAGGTGGCGGCTGGATTTTTCCTATGGATGGTTTTCGCTCGCGCCAGATTTTCTGACGCCCAGGCAGCCTCCACTATTGTGGATGGAGGATATCATTGGCACTGAACATGGTCCAGATGGCTTTCTGGAGGCCCAAGTGCACCGTACAAAGACGGCCGTTACCCTCGAGCGCAAGACGCGGTACCTGCCGATGGCAGCCCCGATTTTGGGGGTCTCTGAGTCTCTGGCAAAGAACCTTGGAATGGATGGCGTCTATGAAAGAAGCAGACCTTCCTGTAGGACCTCAACGTCCCCTTTTGCCCGCGCAGACGGATGTTGGATGGAGTAGCTTGCCGGTGTCAGCCCACGTAGCTGGAATATGGCTGAAAAACCTGCTCAAGGCAGGTGGTGCTGCGTCGCAGGACACCGTTGGGTATGGAACCCATTCTTGCAAAGCTACCCTTTTGTCATGGGCTGCAAAGTATGGGCTGGATGCGAATACCAGAGCCAGGTTGGGCTATCATTCACGTGGAGCAGGTGGTACAGAGTTGGTGTATGCCAGGGACACTATGGCTCAGCCCCTTCGAGATTTGAACAGAGTCTTGGATCAGGTCAGATCGGGAGATTTCAACCCTGATGCCACTCGCAGTGGGTACTTTCGAAATTCGACCCCTGCTCAACATGAGAAGAACAGGCTGTTTTGAGCTCTTCCAGTGAGGGATCTGAGGATGAAGAGGACCCGGAGCATGAGCAGTTTGAGAGGGCCCAGAACCATGTGATGCAGCCGTTTGCAGGGAACTTGCATTC